CGTCTCGATTCGAAGAAGTCAGTGGTTGAGAAGAACATTATCATATTGGACAAGGCTGTGGAGGTGTATAGCAAGTCTGTGGAGTCGTGTAAGGAGCTGCAGTCCGAGGTGAAGCAGCTCGAGGCTCAGCACAACGCGGCGGCCAAGGCAGCGGTGGCAGAGGCGGCGTCTCGCCTCAACGCTGCCGACCAGGCCCCCGCCACTCTCCTCACTTTCGTGGACACCAGGTTCCCGTAGGGTTTGCCGCCGAGCATAAGTCGGAACTCTAGGCGGTCAATGCAAAGTTGGAGTACGAATGGCAGCAGAGGCCGCTGGCGGCGCAGTCGCAGCAGCAGCAGCAGCCTCAGGAACAACAGCCAGCTGGCCCTGTCCCTGCGGGCGATGGGGGTGCGGGCAGTCAAGTTCCTGTCCCTGGCGATCGACTTGTAGACGACCTCGGATGAGAAGATATGGACTTCGTGGACCCAGCCCGCGGCAAGATCAGGAAGGCCGTCACCGAGCGCGAAACCCTCATCCTTAACACCACCGTGGGCTTCGTCGGCCTCGGCGAGGAGGCCACCGCGACGCGGGCGAGGATCGCCAAGCGGCAGGGCATCCGCTCCTCCGCATCAGGCTCGTCAGGCAGCTCTGCAGGCCAGGGTGAGGAACAGCCGCGGGGTCAACGCGCTCTCGCTGTGCATTGTCAGCTGCAGCAGTTGGGCTAGAATCTGAAAGTTCCTGGTCTCCAAGGAGGCCCAGCCTGTCCAGGTCGCATGCTGCCAGGAAAAACGAATCCAACACAATGATTTGGTCAAGAAAAGCACACTGGCGCGCTAACAGGGGATGGTTGGCAGTTTGGCTCCAGCGGCTTAGAGCACCTAAAGGTTGCCGTGCCAGGTTACAGGAGATCCAGTGCGCAAGAGGGCCTGGGCGCTGGCATCAGCAAGCTGCAAGCTCCAGAAAGATGTACATGGCCGACTCCGTTGGCCTGAATGAGGAGAGCTTGACAGCGCTCGCCAGCGTTGTCCAGGTCGCCTCGCTGCACGCCCTGCCGCTGACATCGGCGGGGGATCTCGGCGCGCGCCCATCCAGAGTGATCGAAGCGGAGCTCCCGTCCGGGGTCGGGGCCCCGCTCAGATGTCGAGGCCCGCACTTGCTTTTTCTTTGGGATCCTCTCGTTTCGGAGACTACCTGAAGCATCGGGCGAAGAGAACTATGCACATGCACCGATCCTGGCAAGGCCCATCCTTGACCCAGGATCGGTGCATATGCCTTCCTGGCCAAGGTAGGAGGGCGTATGCACCGATCCTGGGCTCAGGATGGGCCTGGCCAGAATCAGTGTATGCGCATAGTTCTTTTTCCTCTAAAGCAGCCCGAGGCTTTAGTGGATTACCCTAGCAGGCAACATGGGCCAGTCGTGATGGATATGGCGATCGGGGCTCCGCATCTCATTTCTGCTCTGCAGCAGCCGTTGCACTTGCCAGTCACGGCCCCAGGGGCCCCGAGGAACCAGTGCCCCATCGTGGTCCTGGAGTCCCGGGGCTTTGGAGCCTCTGGAGCCCCTGCTCGATGATCGCGACAAGTTCGCCGTCTTCGGGGACGCCTCCACGCCGATTCCTTTGCGGCCTGTTTCTTCCTTTTGCATGAAAAAAGTTTTAGTTGCAGCCGCGGGCGCGCCCTACGCATGCGCGGTGGACGACGTGTCCACGACGCTCAGCATCGGCGCAGACGCGCCGCTCAAAGTCCGAGGCGCCCAGCACGGGCGCCGAGGACACGATGGATCCCCGCTCTGGCTGTAGAGGCCAGTCACGGGGGGGGGGAAGAGGAATGCGCCAGCAGCACGCAGGCGGCTAAGGAACCGAGTCATCAACATCCGGAGGGGAGTGGAGGAGCAGGATCTCGAGGAGCCCCAGCAAGCCCAGCTCGATCTTGCCTCGACGCCTGCTCTTTTAGACGTTGTTTCCGAGCTCGAAGCTTTCAGGAACAGCGCGAGGACTTGCGTTCAGGCCACCCTCTTGGACGCCGCTGCCACTTTGAGCTGATAGCTTTTGTTTTTGCCGACCTCGACGTCGAGATCGAAAAGGCCACGGGCCCCCCCCCCCCAAGGGCCGTTCGGATGAAGGGCAGTCTTGGAAGCTTTGAGCGAAGGAAACCATGGGGAAATGTTGAGGATGGGCTTACATGTGGAGTAGCATACTTAACGTCGTGGCAACCCTCCAGGGTTTGAAGCCCATCAAATGCACGCTGGTCAAGCCGCCCTGTAGACAACGCCAGGGCGTGAGCAGATATGTTTAAGCGAGCTGTGGCCTGCGCGGCCCGCCGAGCCCGACGCTCTGCAGGCTGAGTTGCGAGGCGGGGACCTCGCCGGTGTTTCGCCAGAGTTGCCCAGCATCTCTAGCTTCCCAGACCTCCTCGCGTCGTGAAAAAATCACGACGGGAGGTTTTTCGCTATTTTCGGCCTCCGGGGGCCCTCGCCGGGCCTCGGGACCGTCAAAAAACGATTCAGGACGAAAAACCGGTCCCGGGGAATGGGTCAGGACCTCTGGGGGTCGCGTCATGGAAAAATCATGAGGTCGGGGGTCTGGGTTACCTGGCTAGCAGCAAGTACAGAGGAGTGACCAATATCCATTCAGATTTCAAGGGTGCAGTGGCCTGCTGCAGTTCGTGTAAGCCAGCCGGCGTGAAGAATATGTTTAGCGGACTTGGTTCCACCGCAAAACTCGGAGAGGCCAAACGGGGCGGAGGTTCTGAGGTCGTCAAGGTCAAGGCCCATCAGAACCTTGATTCCTTCAATGGAGACACGCTTCAAGGAACGATGCTGCCGACAGCATTTCCAAGCTAGCCGCTGCCCGCCTGCCCCGGCCAGCCCTTTGAAGCCGAGAGGGAAACCCAGCGGCTGCTCGACGCGAGAGAATGAAGCGCTTCCTTCGGTGCGGGCCGAAGGCCTTGGCCTTGCGGCCCGCCATCGCCCCCATGGTTGGCGGGAAAGGCCTGGGGGCCCCAGTCCAGGCCGCCGACCCGGCGGTTGGTGCACGCTCGGTCGCGGAAGTGTGTCGCAGCGGATCTAATTGCGTGGGCCGTGGCAGTCCCTCCCCCTCCTCGGCAACTTCGCGAGGCGCGCGCTCGCTTCTCGAGCACGTTTGGACTTAGCAGAGAACCCGTTGGCTCTTGCGGCCTCTGCCACGCGCAGTGTCTGAGTGGCAATGCTGAGAAGGATCGAGCCAAGGAGCGCTGTCCTGGGAATGCTGTTGCGTTAGCCAAGCTAGCGCTCCACCCCAACTGACAAATTTCCCTTGGCGTCTGATCGCTCAGATGACGAAAGCTTCATTGCTGCATGCAAGATGTGTGGCAAGTATTGTGGATGTACTCTGAAAGGCCTGCATCAGGAAGTTCCACTCAAGCTTTTCGAGCAGCGCCTACGAACGGCTCATGGAGGGGAGGCACCCGAGGTCCTCAAATCGGAGCGCGAGTTACCTCCCCCGCTTTCGCTTCCAGGCAAAACCAAGTCATACCACGCGCCGCCTCGTCAAGCGGCCTGACCAGTACAGGCCGCAATTTGGCATCGTTTGGTATCTCTTGGAAGCGAGGGTGGTCAAAAGCGAGGTAGGTTTGTTCTCCCCCTATCAAAGCTGAACCTGATTGTTCTCAGCCCCCCAATCCCAATTTCAGAAGTTGCCCAGCAAGCAACCCAAGCGCTCGTGTCGCCATAGCAGAGCCGAACCCTGTCCGAAGCCGTGCGGTGGTCCTGCCCCTCCTCCTCCTCCTCGACCTCCTCCTCCTCCTCCTCCTCCTCCTCCTCCTCCTCCTCCTCCTCCCCTTTTTCTCCTCCTCCTCCTTCCTCCTCCCCCTCCCCCTCCTCCTCCTCCTCCTCCTCCTCCTCCTCCTCCTCCTCCTCCTCCTCCTCCTCCTCCTCCTCCTCCTCCTCCTCCTCCTCCTCCTCCTCCCATTCCTTTTCCTCCTCCTCCTCCTCCTCCTCCTCCTCCTCCTCCTCGAGTCCGTCGGAGGCGCGCGCCTGCGGGGTGCCGCTGCTGCTCGACGCGGAGCAGTCGGACAGGCAGCCCGCCGTCCACCTGCTCGCCGCGGAGCTGCAGCGCGAGTTCAACTCGGGGGGCGCCCGCCTTTCCGATCTCTGCCCGCCCTGCCTTCCCAGACAGGATCGCGTCGTAAAACACATCTCGGGCGGTAGGTTTTTCGCCGTTTTCGGCCTCGGGGGGCCCCCGCCGGGTTGCGGGACCGTCGAGAAACGATCCTGGATGAAGAGCCCGTCCCGAGGAAAGGGTCGGGACTTCCAGGGACCTCGCATTGAAAGAAACAGGACGTCGCATGTCTGAGTCACACTCTAGCCTCCCAGATAGGTGCCCGAGTAGACTTGGGAGCCCCCAAACCAGATGGTGAGATATCTGGTGGTGACGCGGAATCCCCCAAAAGTCACCGCCAGGTTTTGGGACACGGCGTCACCGACGGGTTTTGTGACTCCTGGACCCACCAGCGTTCGGGAGATCCTCGGAAAAGCACGCGAGTCCCCAAACCAGGTGGTGCCACCAAATCGCCCGAGACTCACCGCCGGGTCCTGTCACCACCACGTTTGGGGACTACCAATAGACGGGGTCGGAGAATCGCGCCGCATCGCCGATACATCGCCGATGGGACTCGATGCAGAGCTCCATTTTCTCCGTGCCGGAGTCGCCGATGCATCGGCGATGCATCGGCGATGTGGCGCGATTCCCCGACCACATCCATTCGGACCCTATCTAGGAGGCCTCTCACATTGCCCTTGAAAAGTAATGCAAATTGACTAGTCGATTTGGTGTTTTTTGTCGCCTGCGGTGTTTCGGTCGTTTTTGGTTCTCTGGGCACCGTTCTCGCGGGCCCCGGCGATGTCAGATCTGTGGTGACAAACGACCCTCAGGGAAATCCCCCAGGCTTTCGGACGACTGCAAAATTTACATTCCCTTTCCAGAGGGTGTAGCTGCACCCGACGAAGAAGAAAACGAAGAAACACGGGCCTCCTTGGAGGCCTCCTGCTGGGCGGGGGCCTCCTCTTGGGGGGCCTCCAGGAGAGCTCCTGGGGGGCCCTCTGGGCGCTTCCCGCAGGTCCTGGCAGGGAGGGCCTCTCTCTTCCGCCATCGCGCCACCCCCGGAGGACCCTAGAGGCCCCAAGCCCAAGGCCAGTCTCCCCGAGCTCCTGGCCTTCCTAGTTTTCTCGAGCCGGGGCCTCTTCGCTTCCCGTCGGGCCCCCGGACCCTCGCAGATCGATCCGGCGCGAAAAAGGATGCAGCCAGATTCCTCCTCCTCCTCCTCCTCCTCCTCCTCGTCCTCCTCCTCCTCCTCCTCCTCCCTCCTCCTCCTCCTCCTCCTCCCTCCTCCCTCCTCCTCCTCCTCCTCCTCCTCCTCCTCCTCCTCCTCCTCCTCCTCCTCCTCCTCCTCCTCCTCCTCCTCCTCCTCCCTCCTCCTCCTCCTATCTGCGGTCCAGGGCTCCGGGCGTGGTGTTCACGATAGGGCGCAGTTCGTGTCGCCATCGTCGGAGCTCGGGGGGTCGGCCGGCGCGCGCGCGCACCGCAGCGGGGCGGCGCGAGGGGGGAGGAGGAGGAGGAGGAGGAGGAGGAGGAGGAGGAGGAGGAGGAGGAGGAGGAGGAGGAGGAGGAGGAGGAGGGGGGAGGAGGAGGAGGGGGGAGGTGGCCCGACTTGTGGGTCGAGTCGGAGGTGGATAGACCCCCTACCGCCCGAAAAACGTCCAAAAGAAGAAGGAGAAGGAGAAGGAGAAGGAGAAGGAGAAGGAGAAGGAGAGGGAGAGGGAGAAGGGTGATAAACGCACGACTCACACGATGAATCATAGTAAGGCGGCTTATGTCGGAGGTGGATAGACCTCCTACCCGGACACGTCGATTGGTGAATTGGCCGTTTTCGGTCCGCGAGATGGCGTCGCGGCCGTCGTTTCTGCGGGTCCGGGATTGTCGGTTTCGGTCCCAGGCCGTTTTCACGAAGGGGAGGTTTACTTAAAGGGAGGTTTGTCCACCGCCGGTCGAGCGCGGCTGGCCACACCAAAACAAAAACGGTTCGTCGGCGGCGAGGCGGAGGCGGCCCGCTCCAGCGTGTGGCGATTCGGGGCAAACGAGTGGCAAGCTGGCTGGCATGCAAGAGTTAAGTCGGGCCTGTCCCTCTACAGGGGGGATATTCAAAAATAGTCAAATTATCCCAGTGCGACCCTACCTAGGAGTTGGAGCCCCTAGGAAAGCAGCATTAGTAGTAACAGTAAAGCTAAGCTAAAGCTAAGCTGCAGCTAAGCTACAGCTAAGCTGAAGCTAAGCTAAAGCTAAGCTAAAGCTAAGCTAAAGCTAAGCTAACGCTAAGCTAAAGCTAAGCTAAGTATATGCTACAACTAAGCCAAATATGAGCTTAAGCTAAAGCTAAAGCTAAAGCTAAGCTAACGCGAAGCGAACGCTAAGCTGAAGCTAAGCTAAAGCTAAGCCAACGCTAAACTAAAGCTAAGCTGAAGCTAGCTAAAGCTAAGCTAAAGCTAAACTGAAGCTAAGCTAAAGCTAAGCTAAAGTTAAAGCTAAGCTAAAGCTAAACTAAAGCTAAGCTAAATTTAAGCTAAAGCTAAGCTAAAGCTAAGCTAAAGCTAAGCTAAAGGTGAGCTAAAGCTGAGCTAAAGCTAAGCTAAAGCTAAAGCTAAAAGCTAAAGCTAAAGCTCCCAGGGGACTGGGGGAACCGCGGGGCGGGGACCGGGGGAACCGCCCGGGGCGATTTCCACTGCCTGGCCCCTTTAAGCTAAGAGAGTAAGAACCCTTCTAGGCAGAGCCTAGCTAGGGAATAAGCTTAAGCTAGAGCTAAAGCTAAAGCTAAGCTAAAGTTAAGCTAACGCTAAGCTAACGCTAAGTTGAAGCTAAGCTAAAGCTAAGCCAACGCTAAACTAAAGCTAAGCTAAAGCTAAGCTGAAGCTAAGCTAAAGCTAAGCTAAAGTTAAAACTACGCTAAAGCTAAACTAAAGCTAAGCTAAAGTTCAGCTAAAGCTAAGCTAAAGCTAAGCTAAAGCTAAGCTAAAGCTAAGCTAAAGCTAAGCTAAGCTAAGCTAAAGCTAAGCTAAAGCTAAAGCTAAAGCTAAAGCTAAAAGCTAAAGCTAAAGCTCCCAGGGGACTGGGGGAACGCGGGGCGGGGACCGGGGGAACCGCCCGGGGCGATTTCCCCAGACCCCCGACGTAATGATTTTTTCATTACGTCGACTCCAGAGTTCGCGACCCCTTCCCCAGGACCGGTTTGTCATCCTGAGTCGTTTTTTGACGCTCCCGAGGCCCGGTGAGGGCCCCCAGAGGCCGAAAATGGCGAGAAACCTCCCGTCATGATTTTTTCATTACTCGAGGGGGTCTGGGTCCACTGCCCCGCCCCTTTAAGCTAAGAGAGTAACAACCCTTCTAGGCAGAGCCTAGGTAGGGAAAAATAGTCGGGGTATTACTGCTTGAATATTTTTACACTATTTCGGGGTATTGTTTTTAGTATTTTTCATTTTTCTCCGAATATCCCCCTGTAGGGGGACAGGCCCGACCTAATGCAAGAGAGGGCAAACGAGACGGCCGCGCAGGACAGGGGGAGGCGGGGGACACTCAGACGTGAAAGAGTTCCACACCGAGCGCGCCAGCGCGGCCAGCAGCGGCAGCGGGGGCCGTGGCAGCTGCCAGGCCGCGGCGTCGGTGCATCCACGGGCGCTGCTGATGGTCAGTGCGCGGTAGAGCCAAGTCGTAGACAGCGCAGGCACCCAGGTAAGGGACGTACGAGGTAGCACAAGTGGAAGCGATAATGGAGTCCAGGTGTCAGTGTTAGACTGCCAGCAACAAAATGCTGTACCCGCTCGATGTCAGGCTGGGGTGGTGCGCCTTGTAGCGCAGTGTCCACCGGCTCGGCCACCAGGGGGCCGCGCAAAGAAAAGACGCGCAGCCCTGGCTTCGGATCCGCCGCACTCTGGCTGAGTGTCCTGCCTGTCTATACTGCACCTCGAGAGGCTCGAACAAGCAAGGCGGAAGGTTTCGCGTCAGAGGCCCCCGCGCGCCAGCCCCCGCGCGCCGCCCGTCGAAGTGCCGCCGCCGCCAGCCGCCGCCGCCGCCGCCGCCGCCGCCGCCGCCGCCGCCGCCGTCGTCGTCGTCGTCGTCGTCGTCGTCGTCGTCGTCGTCGTCGTCGTCGTCGTCGTCAGCCCGCCCGCCAGCCCGTCAAAGTGCCGAGGGCCCAGCCCGCCGGCCTCCCGACGGGGCGCTGGAGAGGGCGCGCCCGCGCGGATTAGCAGCGGCGCACCCAGACCCCCTCGCGCGGCGAGGAAATCACGACGGCAGGTGTTCCACCACCTCCTCCTCCTCCCCCTCCTCCTCCTTCTCCTCCTCCTCCACAGTTACTCAATATGAATGCTACTCTCCCTCTTCCCCTGATGGCGTGCTGGGAGTGGCCGACCCCCCCCCCGCGCATTGTTTTTTACACACAGGATTCCCGGGAGTTGGGTTTTCGCTTGCGTTTTTTTCAAAATGTTGCTCTCGCTGAGGCGCCGGCCTCGTTTCTGCTCCCGAAACGTTCCGAATCGTGTTCCCGCTGCAGCGTGGGCCTCATTTTCGGATCGGTGTTTGGCCTCCGTCGTTCAGGATGGCGTTCTCGCCCCAGCGCGGGCCTCTTTCTCGCACGCCCATCCGCCCGCCACCACCGCGCCGCACCACCACCACCACCACCACCACCACCACCACCACCACCACCACCACCACCACCACCACCACCACCACCACCACCACCACCACCACCACCACCACCACCACCACCACCACCACCACCACCACACCACCACCAACCACCACCACCACACAACCACGCACACACGCACGCACGCACGCACGCGCACCACCACCCACTACGCACGCGCGCGCGGAGCCACAGGTCCGCTACGACACGCGTCCGCGGATAGAGAAAATCAGCGCCATGGTAAGGGATGGGAGGGAGGGGTAGGACGTCAGATATGACGCGAGCGCACCTAGCTTGTCCTCCCCCTCCCCTCCCCCCTCCTCCCCCTCCTCCCCCTCCTCCCCCTCCCCCCCTCCTCCTCCTCCTCCTCCTCCTCCTCCTCCTCCTCCTCCTCCTCCTCCCCCTCCTCCTCCTCCTCCTCCTCCTTCTCCCCCTCTTCCTCCCCCTCTCCTGTCGGCCTCTGGGGGCCCCTACCGGGCCTCGGGCGTCGTCAAAAGACGACTCGGGGTGCAGAGCCGAAGCCCGGGAAGGAGTCCAGACCTCCAGGGGTGGACGTTTGTGATGTGTTTAAACAGAGAACAACAAACTCGACGTCGGGGGTCTGGGCCCGCCTCTGCTCCAGGACCCCGACGCGAAGATTGGTCACGGCGTCGACCCTCATGGGGGCTCGACTCACTCCTGGGCACGGCCTCCTCATCTTCTATCGGGGCTCAAGCGACGGGGGTCCGTGCAAACGGAGGTCCGCCGGAGCGCCGGATCTTGCAGGATCCTGCAGGGCCAGGGTTGCGCTGACCCGGGCTTGGGCGCAAGATCCTGCAGGGTGTTGCTCGATCCTGCAAAGCCTGACTGATCGGGGTCTGGGTTGACCCAGGTTAGTATACTAGTCCTGGCATCGCTCGGACGTGTGCATTTTTTCTCTCGGCGAGGATCATCGAGGAGCATCTTGGACCATCGAGCAAAAAAACACACGCACGAAACCGACAAAGCCACGGGAAATGGACGTCCGAGCGATGGCGAGGCGAGTAGTAGACCCCTGACGGTAGAGACCGCTTGCGGCGGCCCCCCGGGGGCCTGGCGGGCCCTCGGAGGCCGAGCGCGGCCACACACCCAGACCCCCGACGTCATGATTTTTTCATGACGCGACCCCCAGAGGTCCAGACCCATTCCCCGGGACCGGTTTTTCGTCCTGAGTCGTTTCTTGACGGTCCCGAGGGCCGGCGAGGGCCCCCAGAGGCCAAGAATAGCGAAAAACCTCCCGTCGTGATTTTTTCATGACTCGAGGAGGTCTGGGCACGACCCGTGCGCCTGAAGGCGGTGCCCGCGGCGCGCGGAGGGCGAGAGCTGCCCCGGCAGCAGGCGTCGTGCCTCTGCCGTCTCCGGGGCGCTGCCGCGGGCGGCCGCCGGCTCTGCTCGTCGTGCGCCCTCGCGTTGTGACAAAAATCACGACGCCCTGACTCTTCCAACTTTGGCTTTTTTTCCAACTTAAAGTTGCGTCGGAAATCCACCTATACGGGGCCGAACAAGTAGGGCGGAAATTGCTGCACCCAACATAAAATAGGGCGGAAATCCACAGAAACAGCAACAGAAAAGTAGGGCGGAAACTGGCATCAGCGGGGCTTGAAAAGTAAGGCGGAAATTCCAAGCCCTACTTACGAATTTTCCCAAAGTAGGGCGGATCCGAAGTCAGGGCGGGAGGTTTTTCGCTATTTTCGGCCTCCGGGGGCCCTCGCCGGGCCTCGGGGCCGTCAAAAAACGACTCAGGACGAAAAACCGGTCCCGGGGAAGGGGTCCAGACCTCTGGGGGTCGACGTTGTGAAAAAAATCGCGACGTCGGGGGTCTGGGGCCTGGGCCGACAGGCCGCGGCGCGCAGGTCCGGGCGCAGGTCTGTCACAGCCCCCTTCCTGCAGCTCTCTGCCAGGAAGCGCTGTTGGGGGGGCCAGCACCTGGACTGGACGCAGACGGGTGGCCCTCCGCCGGAGCCGTCTCTGGTGCGGGCCCGGTGGGGTCCCCCCCGAGCGCCGAGCGCGAGGCGGCGGCGGCAGCGCAGCGGCCTGCGCGCCCACGCCTGGCCACCCCGCGTCCCCCTATTATAGCCGCGCACCCCAGACCCCCGACGTCATGATTTTTTCATGACGCGACCCCCAGAGGTCCAGACCCATTCCCCGGGACCGGTTTTTCGTCCTGAGTCGTTTTTTGACAGTCCCGAGGCCCGGCGAGGGCCCCCGGAGGCCGAAAATAGCGAAAAACCTCCCGTCGTGATTTTTTCACGACGCGAGGAGGTCTGGGGACGCAGACGGGCGGCCCTCCGCCGGAGTCGTCTCTGGTGCGGGCCCGGTGGGGTCCCCCCCGAGCGCCGAGCGCGAGGCGGTGGCGGCAGCGCAGCGGCCTGCGCGCCCACGCCTGGCCACCCCGCGTCCCCCTATTATAGCCGCGCGCCAAAGGCCGCCCTTGCCCAGGGTCCTTTCCGCGCGCAGCCGACCCAGACCTCCTCGAGTCATGAAAAAATCACGACGAAAGGTTTTCGCTATTCTTGGCCTCTGAGGGCCCTTACCGGCCCTCGGGACCGTCAAAAAACGACTCAGGACGAAAAACCGGTCCCAGGGAATGGGTCTGGACCTCTGGGGGTCGCGTCGTGAAAAAATCATGACGTCGGGGGTCTGGGAAGGCCGCCCTTGCCCAGGGTCCTTTCCGCGCGCAGCCGAGCAGAGTGACCCCCAGGCGCGGCCCTGTAATCAGGCTCGCCGCGCGTGCGCGCCGGCCTCCCCTCCGCCTCGAGGCGCCGCCGTGGTCTACGACACCGTGCAGATGTACCTGCGGGCGGCCCCCGAGCGCCTGGAGCGCGGCCTCGCGGCCGCGCGGGCCGGCAGCTACGCGTACGCGGTGAAGCTGGTGCGCGGCGCGTACATACAGCAGGAGGGGCGATCGAGGGAGGGGACCCAGACCCCCTCGAGTAATGAAAAAATCATGACGGGAGGTTTTTCGCCATTTTCGGCCTCTGGGGGCCCTCACCGGGCTTCGGGAGCGTCAAAAAACGACTCAGGATGACAAACCGGTCCTTGGGAAGGGGTCGAGAACTCTGGAGTCGACGTTGTGAAAAAATCATTACGTCGGGGGTCTGGGGAGGGGAGAGGAGCGAGGAGGGCGGCTCCTGTTCTCAGACCCTCTTGGCCACGACGCGCTCTGTGCCCCCTCCACCCATGCCCTCCCTAACGTAATGCTCCCCCCCGCCCAGTGATTCCCGGGCACTGCCGCAGTGCGTCTCGCACCACCCCAGAGATCCGACGTCGTGATTTTTTCAATACGCGGTCCCCGGAAGCCTCGATCCATTCCCCAGGACCGGTTTTTCATCCTGAGTCGTTTTTTGACGGTCCCGAGGCCTGGCGAGGGCCCCGAGGGGCCGAAATTTGCGAAAAACCTCCGTCGTGATTTTTTCAATACGTTGGATCTCTGGGACAGTCTGTCACGGTGGGAGGCGGGGGCGTTACATTATGCCCCCCCCATAACGCCGGTTATCGCGGCGATTGAAAACTGAAGAAATGTTTCCAAGGGGCGATCAGCGGTTCGCGGTCTTGGGGCATTTTCATCGCTTCTCGACGGCTGTCCAGCCTGGGGGTGCTCTCCAGCCGCTGCGACACGCCGAGAGGCGCCCGAGAGAGTTCCCGGATCGCCCCGAGCGGCCGCCGGAGACCCGAGTTGCGGTCGGGATGTTTTGGATATGGCGTGCCGCTCCGCCAGATTCGGCCCACCGCGCCTCGGTGCGACACGCCCAGGCATGATCGCGTCGTAAAAAGAAACAGGACGGGAGGTTTGTGGTCGTTTCGGCCTCGGGGGGCCCGCGCCAGGCGTCGGGACCTTCAAGAAAGCGCTCGGGATGGAAAGCGGGTCCCCGGGAGAGGGTCGGGACTTCCAGGGGACCCCGCGCGGACAGAAAGCAGGGCGCGTCGCACGTCTGGGCGCTGCCCGCCGCGCGGCCCCGAGGCGTCGACGCCTCGAGTGCTCCCGGGCCTCCCGCCCCGCGGAGCGGAGCGACGCGCTGTCCGCTCGCGAGGCACAGCGTGTCCCCCCGGGCCGCCTGGGCGACGCGTGGGGCAAAGGTCCCCGACCTCACGACCCAGACCCCCTCGAGTCATGAAAAAATCACGACGGGAGGTTTTTCGCTATTTTCGGCCTCCGGGGGCCCTTCCCGGGCCTCGGGACCGTCAAAAAACGACTCAGGACGAAAAACCGGTCCCGGGGAAGGGGTCTGGACCTCTGGGGTTCGCGTCATGAAAAAATCATGACGTCGGGGGTCTGGGAAGGTCCCCGACCTCACGACACGGCGACCAAGCGACCGGGATCGCTGGGGGGCGGGCGGGAGGCGGGCCCAGACCCACGCTTTTCGCTGTCGTCGGCCTCCAGGGGCCCTCGCGGGGCCGGCCCCGCGAGGGCGTCAGACGACGACTCAGGAGGAAGAGCCGGTCTCAGGGAAGGGGTCCAGAACTCTGGGGGTCGACGTTTTGGAAAGCAAACAAGAACCCGACGTCGGGGGCCCGGGGAGGGGGGATGGCCCGGGAGAGGGGAGGGAAGGAGGACGAGCAGGAGGAGGGAGCAGGAGGAGGAGGAGCAGGAGGAGGAGGAGCAGGAGGAGGAGGAGGAGGAGGAGGAGGAGGAGGGGAACTGGAAGGGGCAGGAGGAGCGGGAGGCCGGACCGTAGCCATTTTTGCTCCAGCCGTGTCCGCGCCGAGCTTGCCGCCGCAGGGCCGCCGGGCCCGCCGCGGGCCTCCGGTGCGCCCCGCGGGCGGCCGTGTGCGGGCCGCGGAAGGCGCTGCTCGAGGGCCGAGCTGCGAGCGGCCCGCCCTGCGGCCGCGGCTGGAGGAGGAGGCGGTGGTGGCGGCGTCGAGGGGCCTGCCGAGCCCCCGGGCGCTGCCGCGGCGGCAGCCACGCCTGGCCAGCGGCCACGGCGGCGGCGGCGTGCTCGGCGTCGCCGAGCGCGCGGAGCGCAGAATGCGCCCATGGTCTCCGCCGACGCCGCCGAGGTGGCTGGCGGTGCAGGTGGCGACGGCGACGGCGTCGGCATCGAGGACGACGGCTAGGCGGACGGCGTGTCCCGCCCAGCGCCCTCGGCCGATGCGCCCACCGTGGCGCCTGTCGCCGCTGCTGCGGTGCTGGAGGCAGCTGCTGCTGGCGCCCCCCACTCGTGGGTCGCCTGAAGCTGCGCTTGGCGGCGAGGGGGCGGGCGCCGAGCGGCCAGCGGAGGGTGCGCCTGCTGCGGCGGCTGCTGCTGCTGGCGCGGCGGCAGAAGCGGACGGCGGCGAGGCCGCGTTGAAGGCCGCGCTCATCACAGCGAGGGTCGCGACGCCTGGCGTCGGCGCAGCCTCCTGCCCAGCTCCATTTTGCTGGCTGGCCTGTTGCCCGCCCCCGCGCCTGGCCTGCCTGGGCGGTGAAGGGGGCGCCCGGCGCCGGAGCAGAGGAGGGGGTTGCAGCGGAAGGGTCGGCAATGATGCGTCCCCCGCGCAGAGGGCGACGCCGCCTGAACGTTCCCTCCCCTCCCTGTGCATGGAGCCCGCCTTCGGCCAGCTCTGCTTCGCGTTCGCCTGACGGGCTGCCGCCAGAGGTGCGCGGACGCACCGTTCGCATGCGGCCGGAGTCGCAGGAGCGGGAGGACACGGGAGGATGGAGGGAAGGAGGAGGCAAGGCCGAGGGGGGGGGCGGGGGAGGAGGTGGCACGAGGAGCGGGACAGGGGGAGCGGAGGAGGAGGAGCAGCAGGAGCAGGAGCAGCGGCAGCAGGTGCAGCAGCAGCAGCAGCAGCAGCAGCAGGAGCAGCAGCAGGAGGCCAGGAGGCCCAGGCCGAGGAGCAGCGGGCGCAGGAGCCGGAGGGCGCCGAGAGGACGAGGCGGGAGCGACGGGGGTCCCCTGACTCCGGATCCGCCCTACTTTGGCTTTTTTTCCAACTTAAAATCGCGCCGGAAATCCACCTCTACGAGGCCGAAAAGGTAGGGCGGAAATTTACGCACCCAACAGAAAGTGGGGCGGAAATCCACGGAAGTAGGGCGTAAACAGCAACAGAAAAGTAGGGCGCAAGTTGGCATCAGCGGGGCTTGAAAACTAAGGCGGAAATTCCAAGCCCTACTTACGAATGTCCCCAAAGTAGGGCGGATCCGGAGTCGGGGTCGTCGCCCAGGAGCTGCCTCGGGGCACCGTGCACGCCAGCAAGGCCGCCACGGACGAGGCCTACGACGCCGCGCTGTCCCGGCTGCTCGGCTGCATCGCCGCGCCCGGCGGCGGCCCCGCCGCCGCCGTGGTCGTCGCGACGCACAACCGCGCCTCGGTGGGGCGCGCCTCGGGCGGCCCCTCGGAGCGGCCCGGTCGTTGCGCCGTCGTCGGAGGCTCGTCGAGGGCCCTGGGAGGTCCTCGCCCCGTCCCCCCCCCCCCGCCCGGCCCCCCCTCCGCCCTCCGCCTTCCCCCGCCTCCCCGAGTGAGCACGTCTGCACGACGCTGCCATCGTCCGCCGCCGCCCTTCCTACTCCTCCTCCTCCTCCTCCTCCTCCTCCTCCTCCTCCTCCTCCTCCTCCTCCTCCTCCTCGTCCTCCTCGTCCTCCTCTTCCTTCTCCTTCTGCATCCGCGTTCCGTATTGACTCCTTCTCCTCCCCGTTGCACCCCCAGACGTGTCGGTAGGGCGGATTGGGCGTTTCGCTTGAGGCGTCCTTAACATGTATGCTGCGGGAGTTTGACATTTGAAATTTGCCACAGTTGCAAGAACGGATAGGGGGTCAACATGGAGTTTTCGGTTCAGCACCGCGCGCATTCGCTTTAAAAGCGTGCAGCCGTTACAAGGATAGGGGGGTGGCTCGTTTTCAAGATGGAGGTCTCGCCTCAGCACTGCGCACATTCGTTTTCAAAGCTTGTAGCACTTACAAGGATGCAGGGCGGTTCCTATTCTGAGTGGGGCTCTCGCTTTGGCGCCGCGCAAATTCTCTTCAACAATTTGTAGTAGCTGCAGGGATGGAGGACGAGTATTTCTCGAAGTGGGGCTCTCGCTTGAGACTTCGCGACACCCGCGAGGGCCAAAGTGGTCCCCAAACCGCCGAGCCTCAATCCTCGAACGTCGAACCCGCCCGTGCTCCCACTCCTCCTCCGTTTGCTTCTCTCCCTCCTGCTCCTCTTCATCCTCCTCCTCCTCCTCCTACTCCTCCTCCTCCTCCTCCTCCTGCTCCTCCTCCTCCTGCTCCTCCTGCGCACTGACCAAAGGAAGAAGGGGCGAGGTCCCCCGATCCTGGCAAAACTGGAGGGGGGGGGCCATCGGAGCGAGACCTTTTTGTCACCCTGCCAGGGGATGACAGCCCTGGGGCCAGCGACAGGGCCCCCCCCTCAAAACGTAAAGCGGACGAAGTGCCTGACCACTCTCGACGAGGTCACGGGGCCGCCAGGGCTCGACGAGCGGGACCCAGTCCCGCCCCATCTTGTAGCGGCCCTGGGCCAGGCACCTCAAGACGCGGCCTCCCCAGGCGGTGGGCCTCTGGCTGCAGGCTTCGCGGAATGAGGCCTGGAGGGTGATGCCTCCCGCGCCGCAAACAGCGCAAACGATCCCCTTCGCCCCATTGGCCAGGGAGATGGGGAAAGCACGATGAGTGACGTGCCCGCCGCGGGCCAGAGCGGCGAGGGCAACGTCGGCCCTGGAAAGAACGGGCGGAACCACAACCTGTGGCGGCAGCACGACACAGGTTTCCTTACGCGGCGGCAGCCTGCGCCTCCCAGGAGGAACGTGCTCCGCATCGATGTCGGCCATCTTGAGGCCTATACGGCCAGTCCAGATGGTGAGGAACTTTACAACCTTGGCCTGGGCCTTAAATCTGTGACGATACTCCGACGACACGCGGGAGTAGGCGGCAGCCTCCTTCGCGGCAGCGTCGGCAAGCTGATTGCCCGCGCGCTGGCGCTCGGAGATGGCGCCTCGCTCGAGGTCGCCGCGGGAGGTGTGGGCGTTGACCTTGTGCAAACGCAGACAGTCACCCCCCCCCCCCGATCTTCGAGGCAGGCCCACACCAGGATCCAGATATCAGCCCAGGCCGACTTGGCCGAGCAACAAAAAGCTTTCCCCCGCTGCCAGACCCCTCCAAACACGAACCGAGAATCGGTCCAGAAGGTGGCGCCAGGGGCAGATAAACGAAGGGCCATGAGGAAGGCCCAGAGCTCACAAGCGCCAATGTCATACATTCCCGCGGGGAGGCCACCTGCAACAACAGCGGCCGCGGCGGGCCGATCGTCCTGAAGAGCGACACAGGCCCAGGCGAGGGACTGCGCAGCGGGGGGGAGCTCTCCGTCGAGGAGGCTCCCGTCGAGAAAGGCATCACCGTCCAGCATGCCGGGGTCTCCTTTCACCCAGACCTCCGCGGGGGGAGGAGGCGAGGGGGGAGGAGGGGCAGGCAGCGGCACCAGCAGCCTCTCGGCGAGGAGGCGGACGGGAGGGCTGTCGCTGGCACGGAGGAGGGAGGCGGCCACGGGCGGGGTTTCGAGACCGAAGACCTGCTCGTGACCAGGGCACGCGAGGTGCCTGTGCAAGAAAGTGCAAGGAGAATCGAGGCAAACCTGACAAACGGCCGATTCGGAGAGCCTGCGCTCCGCTTGCCGCGCCTGCGGCCACTGACCTCCCGATACGACGGAGACGATGCATGCTTTTTTCTTGGGCAGTGAGCGCTCGCATGCCCGAAAAAATGCGGCCAGGAAAGGCCCGCGCTGAAAGGCAGGCTGGTCGAGATGCTCGGCTACTCTGCGCCAACACCAAGCGTCCACGACGCGCGTCAGCGCGAGCACGATCGTGCGAGGACACAGCTCCGTCAACGAAAAATAGCCGACGACCGGATGGTACCATCGCAGGCCGTCGATGCTGATGCCCAGCCTCTTGGCCGTAGCCACACACGCGGAGAAGGGTCCACGGATGGCTTTCCAGGGCGAGGAGTGCCCTTCCAGGGCGCGGCAGGCCCCTTGGAGGCCAGCCACGACGACGCCCCGCGGAACCCAGGACTCCCAGACCGCGGTAGCGAGGTGGAGGAGGGGCGCGATATTCAAAGCGTACGCGGGGTCGAGCTGCCGAACCCCTAGCATCTGTAAGAGTAGCGTGAGGCTGCGCCCGTGCAAGCGCTGACATTGGACGCTGGCCTGCAAAAAATCTTGCCTGTCGAAGCTCGGTCTCCGAGCTGCCCGTCACCCGCGACCCGTATGCGGTGGAGGCCTGCGCGGCAGCTCGGACCATGCGCGTTTGCGTAGCTTGCTAGCAATAGAAACTATCCTGCGCTGTCGAGCGGCGGCGGCGACCCTGCGACCGCGCTTGGTGGATCGCTTGATGGCCCCGCCAGCCGCGTAGTCCACCCCCAGGTTGCGTTCAGACTGGACAGCAAGAACCCGACGAGAGCTGCGAACGAGGGCGAGTTCATGCCTGAGACTGGGGGTGGACGCGAGAACTCTACTCTTCTGTCTGTGAGCTGGCAGGTGTATCTTCTCTAGCTCATGATGCAGCATGATGGTAGCGCTGGCCAACTCACTCTTGACTGATTGATGTGAGCCAACCTTGCGAAGCCCAAAATCGTCTACAACAACTCCTAACTGCACTTCCTGACGGGCACGCGGAACACAGGCTGCCTGGACGGTGTCGAGCGGACAAAGAAGCACCATCTGCAGGCATAGCGTGGCAAACTGGCAGCCAGCTAGCACAGCCTGCTGGGTGGCGATGGGCTGCGAGCTGACGCCAGAATACTCGAGCACACGTGGCGAACGATGCAAGTCGGCGAGCAGCCGAAGCTGCCTCAGGGGAAAGCCAGTCTTCCGAGCAGCGTCTAGCAGCACATCGTGTCTGACACGTTCAAAGGCTTTGCGAAGATCGAGCAGGGCGGTGCCTGCACACAACTTTTGGCTGACAGCCCATTCCGAAGAGGCAGCCTGGACCCACGCGAGCCGCTCCGACCCCCTCCCCGGCGTAGACCACCAGAAACTCCGATAGTTACTCTGCTGCCACTTCAGAAGTAGGGGCCTGCGAAGAGGTGCCTGCACGCGCGCTAGCACTTGCAGCAATGCGATGGGACGCAGCCCACCCGTGCGCTTGGTTGAAAACACGATTTTGCCCCAGCAGTTGGGCCAGGCCAGCTTGCTCTCGATGAGGAGGATGAGTAGGCGGAGGGAGACGAGGCCGTCGTCACAGAGGTCGAGGAGCTGGCGCGGTCTGATCTGATCGAACCCCGTGCCTGAGGACGCCTTGAACGTCTTCAGGCAGGCACGGAGGTCGTCTACCGAAAAGTCTGGCAGCGGCGGCCCCATGTCGGCTGGCCAATCAAGCGGGGCCTCCTCCTCCCCCATCCTCCAGAACGAACTCCACTCCTCCACTAAGAGTTGCATCTCCTGCTGCAAAGAGGCTGGGGCAGGTCTAGCCTCGCCAGCAGCGCTGAAGGAGGGGCTGGAATACCAGGGCGTCGGGGGCTTGCTGACCGCAAACAGAGCGCCGCCTCCAGCGTCGCTGTGCTTGCGGGCCCAAGTCTTCCATTCTTGGTCCCGCTTGCGCTCGGCGTCGCGCTGCCGAGTAGTGGCCAGGTCGCGGGCCTCTCAGCGCAGGACAGATGCGAGCGACCAGTCGATGTACCTGGCGCCGCGCAGTAGGGCGCGCCATGCGCCGACGTCGGGTGGGAAACCGATTCGAGGCTGCGGCCTGCTGTCGCGCTGCCGCGAGCGTGGCAGCCTTATCGTCAGCCGTCTGAAACTTAGCAAGATCGCCCAAGATCTGAACCAGCCCTCGGAACCAGACGGCAAGGGCCGAGGTGCGAGGGAACAGAGGGGAGCGAGGCACAGGCGCGCGCCTGCTCTGCACTGACAGCGGCTCACTACGGCCCACGTAGCGCTCGGCCTCGTCGTCGGGGATCTGGTAGATCTCGAGAAACTCCTGCTCCATGACCGTGACGAACTGTCTCCATGCAGCATCGACGTCAGGCTGCTGGTGAAGGCCAGCACGAGGTCCCAGCGCTGGCTGGGCGGATAGCAACCTGCTGGTAATTCTCGCGGGAAAGCCTGGAAGCTCTGACGTGCGGGAGCTGCGGGGTCTGCTTCAAACCCTGCAGCGTGAGCTTGACTGCCTTGTGGTCATGCGTGCCCACGCCGTTGAGCACACTGATGACAGCGTCGTAGCGCAGGCCATGCGAGACCACGTAGAAGTCCAAGACCCGTGGCGTCTCACCTCTGGTGCAGGTGGGAACGACGGGCGCGAGCACCGCAGCCTGGAGCGACTCAGTCCAGCCCGTGCCCTGCAGCTCCTGGGGGGTGATGTTCCAGTCGCCCGTGACCACGAAT